CATTGCTCTTAGATTACTTTAAGTAGGTGTGCAATTTGGAGAATGAACAAATGACCAGAAAAAAAAACAAAATAAATAAATAAAAATGATCTAAATTGAGAAATATGCATGTATGTGCATACAGATATAAGTGTAGCATTTGTTCCTTCTGTTAATTCACATGAATTTTATTCTGTAGTTTGCACAGCTTTTTATGTAAAATTTTATTGTTGTATTTATTTCCACTTGCCAAAAGTAGACCTGGAGTTTTATGTTATCCTTCAAAAGTGCATGATCTTTTTATTTGTAGCTTGTATCTTGCTAGTTTTTGATATGTTAAATTTCTGCCTGATAAATATGATAATTTAGATGTATTGAATCATTTGCTTTTTACAACTGCAGCACCTCTTGCCTTGGCTACAAATTCCGTTCATCTTCAAATTGTCCATACCTATTTTGTGTTGTGCATTGTAGATTTCATATAATTTCCTAATTCTCACTGCTATGAGTCGTGTTCATAGGTATTAGAATTTCCCATTTGATTTGAACATACAGTATCCTTAAAACCAAATGCAAGCGCATTCAAGAATTGAAACCCTTGGTAATATTTATTTGTTCATTTATTGTTTTATTAATTTCCAGTTTCGATGTCACAAATGCATATTGAATTTAAATAGTTGAAAGCACTTTCTCAACCCAGTTAAAGGAACTGTAGAGTTATTAGTGGCTGTAAGTCATGCACTATTTTCCTTTTATGATTTTCTCAGTCATACACCTTTGAGCAGTACTAGGAATCCAGTTTGGTTTACAACATACATACAGGTCATATCTCAGCTAGAAAAAGGTTATAGTGAAGGTAAAAGGTTCACACAGCCAGGTAAAGGATGGTGCTGTATACATGCTGTATACTGTTCATCAGATACCCAGGATGATAATGATTGAACAGGATAACAAAAATTGAAAATTTGAGCCATTTTGGTTGTGATAACCAGTGAAATTAAGTTCACTCCAGTTATGAGTGCAGTGCAGATGTAGCAGTGCTCATTTTCTGACATAGAAGAAAATTTTAGAATGCATTGGAAGCTTTTTAATCTTCAGATGACAATTTTTTTGTTTATGATCATAGTTGGTGATGGGTTACAAATATGCATGGATTTGACAAATTTTAATCCAAGAAAATTTTTTGTGAAATTTTACATCTTGTATTGTATATCTGAAATAAATTTCTTTGTGAAACTTATTTTTTCTAGGTCTTTCAACATTTGAAGGACTAAGATTCTTTTTTTTATTTCTTCGTGTGAACTTTCCTATGTATTTTTTGTTGACTTTTCTCTTTTGATTTGATCTTTCTTGTATTGTATTTCTTGTATGCAAGTCTTGTATAACATTGGGTGAATGTGCTGAGAAGTGTATAAACAGTTGTCACAGTATTATGCCTTATGCACTTCATGCACAAAAAATGCCAATGATATGAATAAAGTTTGATGACTTGGAAGACTATGATATGATATAGCATATTACCTTTGAGTCTGAACTACTGCAAAGCTAAGCTATCTTTGCAAAAGTGATCTAGAAGGCTACCGATTTTAATCAGAAAATAATCATCCACTTTAACTAGAAATTTGAAACAAAATTTTTTCGATTGTTTCTGATTATCTGCGGCAGTCTTAGACCATTGTGTGAGCTTATTTTCTTACCAGGTGATGGGTTCGATGCATGTTAAAAGACTCATTGGTGGGACTGTTGGATGGCCATGAATGTAATTGAGTGTCTGTCTGACATTGTTCTTTGTATCAAGATCTATATAACTTTTCAGTATGACTTTACTAATATTTCTATATGTGACATATTGAATTTCTCTTTTTATTTTTTCTACTTTATTTTTGTGATGAAATAAAATCAGTAAAATGATTAATTGATTTTTCATGTTTGTGTTCTAAGTTTTTAATATTTAAAAAAGCAAAATTTTCACATTGAATTTTTGTTTATCACGGAATAATAGTTCACAAGTATGTATATAGATTATGTTGAAAGTATTAAAGCTTAAAGTTTTTTTATTTTGACTTTCAAGATTTCAAACGTTTTTCCAGCTGTATACTTACCTTTCCATTTCTATTTCAGTCTAAGAAAAAGCCCCAGAAGGCTAAAGGGAAGAAGGGAGATAAGGATTTGAATGATCTGAAGCAGGAGTTGGAACTTGATGAGCACAAGGTCCCAATTGAGGAACTCTTTCAACGTCTCACTGTTAACCCAGACACAGTAGGTTTACCCGAGTTCTTTGTAGTATCCTTGGTATATTGCCTAAATTAAGAGTATTGGTAAGATTTAATCCAATAGCGACAGGGAAGGAATTTTGGGAAAGTGGGTTAAGGAGAAGTGTACATTAGCGTGCACAGCTCTGCGCATTGGGTGATTCTCCAGCTATTTTTTGTAATTACTTGATATGATTTAATCTAAAATCACCTGTCGCCAATAGGTTAGAATAGATCTTTAAGAGTAGATACACGCAGATAACCCTCAAAAATAAATCAAATGTAATTCTTACTTGTGTACTTTAATTACAAGGTGTTTTTCTGCCTTGAACATGACTAACCACTCCTATAACCTTGCAGGGTCTATCACAAAGTGAGGCTAAGCGCCGTATTGAACGAGATGGGCCGAATGCTCTTACCCCACCCAAGCAGACTCCAGAATGGGTCAAGTTCTGCAAAAACCTCTTCGGTGGTTTCTCACTCCTGCTGTGGATTGGCGCTATCCTCTGCTTCATTGCCTACTCAATTGAGACAGCTGCAGAAGAGGAGCCCAACAAGGACAATGTAAGTTTTCAGTGTTTTGTTGGAAATAAGAGTATTCTTTATCTAAAGAGATGATTTGGTAAATGTTAATATGTTGAAAAATATGTACAACTAAGGGATTCAAGTGATTTGCAATTTTAAAGTTGAATTGTAGTTATTTAATGTTTTTCTTTTGATTAAGGTAGTTCATGAGAAATGTCACTGTTTTAGGCCAATTGTTTGAAAATGCATTAGGCATAGCAATATATACATAATCATATCTATAAGGGCATTTGCATTTAACAAACTTTTTCTTCCTTAAGGGTTTGATTTGACTTGCAGCTGGTATGCAGATGTTGGAGTTAAAACATTTTAATGGACCGTGTTTTGTGTATTTCAATATCCAATTCTTTTTATTAGATAATGAAACTGCTCCCATAGTTAGGTTTAGAGAGAAAAATGTTTTATTAATAGATGTGAGGAAGCATAAAGTTTAAAGTTGTGCAGGTTAAGAATTTTAGAGAATATAAATCATAATAAATGAAAGCTAGATATTTCTGAGTGTTAGTGTGTCTCAACCAATTTATCAAAGTTCGTAACATCTTATGGTGATATTTTACAGTTATACCTAGGTGTTGTGCTGACTGGTGTGGTGATTATAACAGGCGTCTTCTCCTACTATCAGGAGGCAAAGTCCTCTGCTATTATGGATTCATTTAAGAACATGGTGCCTCAGGTAAACCCTTAGTAATGCTACATGCCTTGGTTAGCTAGATGTTGGTTCTCCTCTACTGTTCTGATGAGGAGGAGGAAGGTCCTCTGATGTGTAGTGGTAGGTATGGGATCAATCATTTGAGGTAAGGTTAGAGAATTAGACCCTGGGGGAGAAACTAAAACACGGATGACATCAGAGGCTTCAAAGTCAGTGAGCTCATAGGTAGATGGCACCTTTTTTTTTTTTCTTCTTCTTCTTCTTCTTCCTCCATGTGAGGTAAGGTCATAGGAAGGAATGATGGTCTGGAGTTTATAAAAGGGGCACATTTATGGTAAATTGTAATTTTTTTTATATGTATCTTTTTTTCATTTTATGCCTGAGCCCTGCGAGTCACTTTCCCTTTGCTTTTTATCAATTTTTTTTTTCATCTTCTTTAATTTCTTTGGAGCCAAGTTGGACTCAAATTGACCAAGAGTCTTGGATCGCAAAGATTCAGGGATATATAAGCATAGGGTCCTTCCACCTCTTCCACTTTCCTTTTAATTTTGTTGCCTTTTAGCCCATCCAGAAGCAGCACTTTTACACAGAGTACAATACTCTTATCTTTATCTCTTGTGTAAAAGAAGATCCAGAACATCAATGTTGATGCTGAAGATTAAGGAGAAGGTTTAGTAAATAGATACAAAAAGAAAAGTACTGACAAATAAGCTTGTTTGCAGTTGTACCTGGGCATTGTGCTCACAGCTGTCGTGATCATCACAGGCGTCTTCTCATATTACCAAGAAAGCAAGAGCTCCCGTATCATGGAATCTTTCAAGAACATGGTCCCTCAGGTGAAGATGCGAATATTTGTTTGAGGTTAAGCTAAGCGTGTTGTCATAATTGTCCATGCATCACTGGATCTTTTTGCAGTAACATGCATATATTGTGACTAGCCAAGTAACAAACCTGTTAGTGCAGTACAGATCTAAATATGCATTATAGAACTTACCTGGTCTAATCTGTGTTTCTTCTCTAACCCTTGCTTTTGTCTCTAAAGAGTACTCTGCCTCTTGCTCTTGTTGTATCTGTACCATACTTTCTTATCTCCTTTTTCTGAACTCTCTCTTCATGTGTTGTGGTCTTTGTCCCTATACTTTCCATGTGCTCACACCGCAGGTATGGACACTTTAGACATTTCCTCTCCTCACTTTAACTGTGCAACAGAATGTCCTCTTTACTTAACCGAACCACTGCATCTTGTGAACATCCTTGTTCTTTTTCTCCTATTACAAAAATCTTTCAGAAGTTAATCTGTCTATGGTATTTCCGATTCCTATTTTCCAATGCCTATTTTCCGAATAATCTTATTTCCCACACACCGATTGACCATTTTACTAGCAATTTAAAGTGGGCCAATAAAAGGCTGACATCCTCTTAAGGCTCCTGTTTCCTCCTCATATATGTATATATGCACACATGTATGACTAATATACTTATATATATTATGTAATATTGTACTTAGTATATATTTGATATATATATATATATATATATATATATACAGTATATGTTTGTGTGTGTGTGTATATATACTATGTATATAACTATTTTTTCTTCTCCTTTTTCTCCCCCGCTTTTTGTTTTAATAGATTTTACACAATAGTCTCTTGACCACCTTTCCAATAATATTTTGGTGTGTGTGCTTTGATTTGATAACTGCATTTTAAAGTACATTGACATCTACAGTAATGATTTTGATTCAAACTCAACAATTTGAGTATCTGATGATCAAGATTTATTCATGTACAGAACTTTGGAAAAAAATGTAGATGTCAGTGTATCACCTAAAAAAAAAAAAACTTACAATAGAAAAATAATAGGTTATACATTTAAGGTTTGTGATTAGGTTGGCTTCAGAGTTTCAGTCAGATGTGATGCCTTAAAAGAAAAGAAGTCATGGTAAGATTATTTAGTATCAAATTAGTTCGAGTTGTTCCTGCTGAAAGTTTCAACAGTTACGCGAGGTCAGGATATACTAACTTGCTTCAGGCTTTCTATAACTACAGTGGAAACTTAGGCAGTTAAATTCTTAGGTCTTCTCAGGTAAGTAGGTGGAACAATTTTTATATGTATATATATGTATATATATAGACATATATGTATGTATATATATGTATATTGTTACCTAGAAAATGTATGTAAAGGTTTTGTTATATTCATTTGATAATCAATTAATTTAATTTTTCTTTGGAAATTACTGTTATTATTTGATTTTTAGCACAGATTATTGAAGAGACCTCTTGAGATTTGTTTTAGTAAGCATTAACTACAAAATGTAGACTTATCTGATTTGTTAGCGTAAGATTACAAAGACTATAGATAAATATCTCTAACTGTAGATACTGAAGTTAATTGATACTCTTCTCTTTCAATCAGTATGCTATTGTTCTTCGAGATGGCGAGAAGCAGAATGTTCAGGCTGAGGAACTGTGCATAGGAGACATTGTAGAGGTCAAGTTTGGTGATCGTATCCCAGCTGATATCCGTGTCATCGAAAGCAGGGGCTTCAAGGTTAGTTCCTGGTCTTGTATAATTGTAATATTATTATTAGCAGTAAAGTTTGTCATAAGATTTTTGGCATTTGATTCATAAAATATTAGTTTTGGTAATAGTAATACAAACTTTGCCTTTGTGCTACAGGTTGACAACTCTTCCCTGACTGGAGAATCCGAACCCCAGAGCCGATCACCCGAATACACTTCCGAGAACCCCCTTGAGACCAAGAACTTGGCTTTCTTCTCCACCAATGCTGTCGAGGGTGTGTTCTTGTGCCTTATGTATTGTCATTCACATCTTTTGTGACTTTCAAACTTGACAATGTATGTTCTACTGATGGTGTTGATGATTATGAAAGGGTGGTAGTCACTAATTTCTGTGTTATTTTCAGGTACTTGCAAGGGTATCGTTATCATGATTGGTGACAACACTGTGATGGGTCGTATTGCTGGTTTGGCATCTGGATTGGAAACTGGTGAAACCCCCATTGCCAAGGAAATTACCCATTTCATTCACATCATTACTGGTGTGGCTGTGTTCTTGGGTGTGACCTTCTTCGTTATTGCCTTCATCCTTGGTAAAGTTCTTAGTTGAAAATGTTTGTTAAACATGTAATTTTAGTCTGATTAAAGAGTACTGCACTGTACTTGACACATTTTTATATGTGGCTCAGTAAATGCAATGTATATATTTTACTTGAATCCATGCACTTCAAAAGATGTTATAAACATTAGGAATTGATACAGAAATTTTATTCTAATTTAAAACTCCACAATTTCAGGGTACCATTGGTTGGATGCTGTTGTGTTCCTCATTGGTATCATTGTAGCCAATGTGCCTGAGGGTCTGCTAGCCACTGTCACTGTGTGCTTGACTCTTACTGCCAAGCGCATGGCTGCCAAGAACTGCCTTGTAAAGAACTTGGAGGCTGTGGAAACCCTGGGTTCCACTTCCACCATTTGCTCTGATAAGACTGGTACCCTCACCCAGAATCGTATGACAGTAGCACATATGTGGTTCGACAATACCATCATTGAAGCTGATACATCTGAAGATCAGTCTGGCTGCCAGTATGACAAGACCTCACAAGGCTGGAAGGCTCTGTCTAGAATTGCTGCCCTCTGCAACCGTGCTGAATTCAAGACTGGCATGGAAAACACTCCCATCCTGAAACGTGAAGTAAACGGCGATGCTTCCGAAGCTGCTCTGCTGAAGTGTGTAGAATTGGCTGTTGGTGATGTTAAGGGCTGGCGTGCACGCAACAAGAAGGTATGTGAAATTCCTTTCAACTCCACCAACAAGTACCAAGTATCCATCCACGAGACCGAGGATAAGAACGACCCACGATACCTTGTTGTGATGAAGGGAGCCCCTGAGAGGATCCTGGAACGTTGCTCGACCATCTACATCAATGGAGAGGAAAAGGCCCTCGACGAAGAAATGAAGGAAGCTTTCAACAATGCCTACCTTGAATTGGGCGGCCTTGGAGAGCGTGTACTTGGTTTCTGTGACTACATGCTGCCAACTGACAAGTACCCTCTTGGATACCCCTTCGATGCTGATGCTGTGAACTTCCCTGTCCATGGTCTGCGCTTCGTTGGTCTGATGTCTATGATTGATCCTCCTCGTGCTGCTGTACCTGATGCTGTAGCAAAGTGCAGATCTGCAGGTATCAAGGTTATCATGGTTACTGGTGATCACCCCATCACTGCCAAGGCTATTGCCAAGTCTGTAGGTATCATCTCTGAAGGAAACGAGACTGTTGAGGACATTGCACAGAGGTTGAACATTCCCATCAAGGAGGTTGACCCCACTGAAGCAAAGGCTGCTGTAGTTCACGGTTCTGAACTTCGTGACATGACATCCGAGCAGTTGGATGATGTCCTCCTCCACCACACTGAAATCGTGTTTGCCCGTACCTCCCCACAACAGAAGCTGATCATTGTAGAAGGTTGCCAGCGTATGGGTGCCATTGTGGCTGTAACTGGTGATGGTGTGAATGATTCTCCTGCCCTGAAGAAGGCTGATATTGGTAAGTATTTTTTTTTTTTTTCATCTAGAGATACTACTGTATTGACATTTCATATTTGATGTGGTTATGCTGACTTATGGCGTGAAACATCACAATATTCATGGTATTAAACGCAATCTTATTCTTACAGGTGTTGCTATGGGTATTGCTGGTTCTGATGTGTCCAAGCAAGCTGCTGACATGATCCTGTTGGACGACAACTTTGCTTCCATTGTCACTGGTGTTGAAGAGGGCAGACTTATTTTCGACAACCTGAAGAAATCCATTGCTTACACCCTGACATCTAACATCCCTGAGATCTCTCCCTTCTTGTTCTTCATGATTGCCTCAGTCCCACTTCCTCTTGGAACTGTGACCATCCTCTGCATTGATCTGGGTACTGACATGGTAAGTTATGCAACCTTTTATTCTCCAAGACAATTTTCAAGGGAAGGGTGACACTCGACTTTTTTTTCTAAGACCCGCAGAACAATATTTTACTTCCAAGAATAAGATCCACTCAAAAATAAAAAATAAAACACATGGCCAGACCCAAGATACCTTTTGCCACATTTCATATACAAACATATATTACCCTGGGTTTACATACTGTTGAATAATATTTTTAGCAATCATGGATTTTTTTCTTCCCAAGCTGCCAGCTATATCCTTGGCTTATGAACAAGCAGAAAATGACATAATGAAGAGGCGCCCCAGAGATCCTATATATGACAAATTGGTTAATGAGAGGTACTGAGTCAAACTGTGATATTACATCTGTAGTAGATGAAAGAATCGCATAGTTGTAAAGTAATTGCCAGGTAATTCTTGAAAAGAAAATTATTCTGTATAGTCAGTTTTGTAAGTCATATTCAACCAAAGCTTAGTAGCAAGAAGTAAGCATATAGTAGAGTATCCTAACTTTTATAAAGTTGAAAAGTCTTAGATTTGCCTCTTTACACACCCTACAAGTTCATTCCCTGTACAATTTCCGTCCTCTCGGTAGATCCCAGCCATATCACTGGCCTATGAAGCTGCGGAGAGTGATATCATGAAACGATATCCCCGAAATCCATTCAAAGACAAACTTGTCAACGAAAGGTAAAAAGGGCTGCATAGGAATGGATAACATGGAACGAATTTTTTATCCAGCTTTTGCAAGATGGCAAATTTCATACTCTGCCACTTTTATTAGCACGCAAAAATTGGTTATGGGATTTTTCTCATCTAATAGGCAAAGGTTTGGTCTCAAATATGAAAAGACCATGTTTTGCATGTTTCTTTTTTATACAATTTTTTAAATATTGAAGAGAAGAATAAGAAAAGAAGAGTGGACATTTTTAGTAAGGTATTTTTAATATTACCAGACTGTTGAAAGACCAACAATCTGAATTCTCTTGGCTTATCCAACTGGGCTGGCGGGGGGTAAAAAGCAAGAGTATGCATTTTCCCCCTTTTTTATTTCATATTTTATCCATATTTATAAATTATACCACGAAAGCAGGTTTATGAGAATGATCTTGCTAGTATTTTTTTAATCCCCCTATTAAATGATGATATGAAAGTTATGAAAATTTAATAACTTTTACTTTAAGCTAGCTACTTCATTATTGCTTATTCTAATACTTCAAAATTTTCTCCTATGCCTCACCATATGCTAAATTTCATCATTCACTGTGATCAGGCAATCACATCCTTTTATTGTTAACACATTCACACACAACGGTCATATGTGTATGCTTGTATTTTTTGAAAACCTGTATATACATATGTATGCACATACCTAAGCACACAAAAAAATACTCGAACATTTCCACAGTTCTCTACTAATCATGCAAGTGCATTTTGCAACATGACAAAATCTTTCATCAAGTTCTTTGCTTCCCATTTCCTTCCCTTCTACCCAGCTTCTACCCTTTTTATTGTTCATAAACGATGGTAAAATCAATATTTTCATTATCAGTATTAAGGTTATTGCTGTTAATGGATAGTGGCCCAAACATAACTGAATAGTTTTTTTTTTTTTTGAGAACTGGAATGCACTTTTTCTTTTTCATAAATTTTCCTCCAGAGTGCAAGTCACAATATGTGATTTTTGACTGATAATTTCCAATTTTTATATTTATATTGAAACATGTTTCAAACTTTTGAAGAAATACATCAAGGGTTTTGGTTAGACCATATTACCATATTTGTTTTTAGAATATTATATATAAATGCCCCTGCCCATCACATTGAGTAATCTGCACTTATCAAAACTGATACTGTTTTTTCACCACTGTCTGGGATTATTCATGAATTTCATTCATAATGTCATCTTGCACACGGATCACCCTGCCACTGCAGGCTGAGTGTGTAGACTTGCTAACTCTCAGCCGTCCATATCGCACAACTTGGGCCGTGTTCAGTAAAGTGTATTTTTCAGGCCATATAGATAGTTTTTCGTTTTTTCCTGGATTAAATTTTAATATGAAAGCATGCTGGTCTCTATATTTTCATATCAGTTTTTATCTTTATACGAAAAATAAGTTAAAAGGCCTGAAGGTTGCACCTGTTGCAAGCGGTGTTTGTGTGTATTGACCTGCCATGCATGCCATATTCATCACCATAGTGTCGTGCCTCAAAGAGTTCACCCCGTGTGTATCTGGTCTCATATCTGTCTTTTTTTGTCTGCCTCTTGTCCTGTGCTGGCCATGACAGGTCCCAGCCATTTCCCTTGCCTATGAAGCAGCTGAATCTGATATTATGAAGCGTCAACCCCGAAATCCGTTCACCGACAAGCTTGTGAACGAGAGGTAACGTGTGCAGGTTCTCTCTCTCTCTCTCACACACTTTCTCTCTGCCTTTCTCTCTCCCCCTATTTATACATATCACTTCCTGTATACCCATCCTACACCCTAATATCAGATCAATCAACCCAGATGCTGGAGAATCTCAGTGATCAAACCCTTGCATGAATGTTCTCTAGCGGATGCAGATCCTGAGTATGTACAAGCATCAGCTGTGCTTGCTCCTAAAAACGAACCATACAAGGACAAAGTCCAAGCAATCAGGAACTAGAACAAGAAGCACAGCTTGCTTAAGTACTCTTTTTTGTGGGACACGATGACTGAGGCTTGTGTATTCCATTTGTCTGGAGTATAGCAGGTCCAAATTCATCTTGTCTCATGTTTTAGCCTATATCCGAGATCCCCTACACACAAATTTACTGCTGTTCAAGGGGCCTGTCACCATCTTTCTGGTAATGCTAGCACATGCCCAACAGGACAGAGCAGAGCTCATATCTTGGTACATTTATTGCATTTTATTTTATTTCTAAGTGCATTTTAAGATTCCAGGTTATGCAAGCTGCAGCATTTGTAGTGACTACCTTTTACCTTTTTACGTTTTCTGTCATTTTCGTCTTAAGTTTTGCATTTCATTTTTGTCTTGTTTAATTCTATTTTAACCTCATTATTTGGTTAATATTTAGGTGCCTGCCATTTCCCTTGCCTATGAAGAAGCTGAGTCTGATATTATGAAGCGCCAGCCCCGAAACCCATTCACCGACAAGCTTGTGAACGAGAGGTAATGTTTGTATAAAGTGCAGCAATTTGCATACTAACAAATTGACGTGTTTCTCCTCGCGTGAAGTGAGTTAGTGAAATCCAACTAACAAGCTTGTTGTCGAAAATATGGTGGTGGTATAACGGTTTGAAAAAATTCTTTTTATTTTGAAATTGTGTGACCTTTTCTCTTTCTAAAGGTTTCACAAAGCTTTTCATAATGAGGGTTTCATTGTTTTTTCTTTTTCTTTTTTCTTCTTACTTTTTTTGCATGGTTGCTTTCGTCTCAATTGTTGGAGCAAATCGAGAAAAAATTGACCAACAATTTAACTTTGTGGAAGTATGGGCAAGGTCGTTTAGTTTACCCACTTATTTCGTCCTCTATTTGAAGTTTTCTGTTGTGGAACTTCCATTTTATTTTTTTATGGGGCGGGTGATTTTTTCTTAGAATTTTACGACTACAAAACCCTTTCATGGTCTTTGATTTTAAATAGCAGTGAGGATTTTGAAATATCAGTCCTCTATACTGTATTTTGTTTTCTTCAGTTGAGCATATGAAAAATCTTCGTTGGAATAACTGATGCATGATTTGGAAAGAGCTTTATGTGCATGGTGTGCCTATTTCGCCTTTCGTTTTATTTTCCCTTTTTTACTTTTACATCCTGTTCTCCTTCATCCATGATGCTTTCCGTGTCCAAAGACTGTTCCAATTGCTTCGAAGGATATATTCCGAAACTGCTATGGTTCATACCATGGGTCCTGTGTTCCAGCCATGTACTGTAGAAGTGCACAGTAGCGTGAATGACGCGGCGATAACGGCAGTATGCAATTCGGCTGCTCAGATGCTTCCTATTAAATGGGCTGTATTACTTAGGAAATTGTCTGTGTCTGTCTCAGTCTGACTTACAATGTAAGTAGATGATGCTTCTAGAAGTTGAAATGCAATGCGTATGATCCATCTACATAGCCACACCAGTCGGTGGTCTTCACTGTGGGAAGAGGTCGTTGCTAGGCTGACTGGCTTTTCATGCTAGATACAGGGGGAAAAAGGGATGGTTCTAGTCTATTTTACGGCTCCTGCCTTGCCCTCTACCCACCTATGAACCACCACGGCGTGTGGGCTAACCACATCACCGATTGATAGGGGCCAGCTGAGTAATTGTTCATCGCCACACCATCCTCATGGAAGCATTCCTGGATGCCCGTGAGCAACGCTAATTTTCCGTAAATTTTTACACAAATGCGCAGGTCCCGGCCATTTCCTTGGCCTATGAGGCTGCAGAATCGGACATTATGAAGCGCCAACCACGAGACCCGTGGCACGACAAACTTGTCAATTACAGGTGAGCTGCCACCACTATACAAGAGGTTTTTCGCAAGCCCATTCTCCCTTGTTACTGTATATCAAGAATGTTTGGTTGGTGTCAAGGTGAAGCATACTGCTCCCATTGGAGAGCTGTAATTGATGTTTTAGAATTTTCACCAAGAAAATGTATGTGTTCGGACTATGTTTACAGACAGGCGCATCAATACATTGCACAGAACTACCTAATCTTACACTCGTTGGTCAATGTTTTATGGCTTAGGTTTATGTATATCTATACCTTATCCATGGAATGCCAGCTCTCAGCCTATACTACAGTTTGTTTGTAATTGCTGAAGCCTTCATTGTTTGATAGTCAGTGTTCTCTAAAAATGTACATTGTGGCACATCATACAAGGATGTGGATGTAGGCCGAGTAGAGACGTCAACAAATAATGTGCTACATTTCCATACATAGGCAGGTACATTAATGATTTATTTTACATTTGTGATTTGTCCAGTCCATGGATCATTAGTGGCCCAACTGTAAAGGATAACTACACTTTGTCAGTATCTTCTTCTACCTGCTTTGTTTATACAGGAGTCCTTCATGCACCATGTTTGTGAGTTAACTGGGATAAGAATTTTCCAGTGGATTTGTGTTCGCACTGCGTTTGTATCTTTTCTTTTTGTCATGGACTGATAAGGCACTCTTTATCCATACCTCAAACAGTTTGTGAAAGTTACTTGCCCCAACATTTGTACAAACTTCTGTTTCCCTATGCATGGAATCTAAGGAAAATGAATGCATGTATCTTGTTTTGTTTTCTCTGTAAAAAAAAATGAAATGTTCCACCACCATAGAGGATCTACAGCATCAAAGAAAAGGGTAAGGGAATCTTATCTATGCAGATACCCCATAGAGATTAAACCTGATTTTTCTTGTAGAATTCTTACTCTTAGCTAAGGTTTTATTCACTACAGGATACTATGACTAACCCTAAGTATTTACTCTGATTATTGTAGATAGTATGTTTATACATAGTTCAAGTTTATATCCTACTGCTAGATGCCTTTTAATTGCAGTCTTGCAATTTTCAGAAGGGATTTCGTCAGATGACAAAATTTGTTTCTATTAGGTATTTGGTTGATGTGATTATCTCTTAGTATGACCTTTTTAAGTAGATAAAATTTACATTCTTTGAATGTTTAAAATTTTCATATATATAATTGATATCAGGAGCACTTTTTATTGATGTGCATTATTTCACCACAACTTTTCTATAATCTCCAGATAGAACTCAGGAATATAGTATGTCACAGTTCTCTGGCATCTCCTTCAGTTATGCAAACTACAATTTGTATGGGGTTTAACTTCTTTACGAAAATATAAAAGATTTCTTTCGCATATATATTGGGGCAAAACACACATGCCATACCAGTGTCCGTGAGTTTTAATTGTATGTTGTATTCCCCACACAACAGGCTCATCTCAATGGCCTATGGTCAGATTGGTATGATCCAAGCCCTGGCAGGATTCTTCACCTATTTCGTGATCATGGCTGAGAACGGCTTCCTGCCACCCCATCTCTTTGGTCTCCGTGAGCGCTGGGACAGCAAGGCCATCAACGATCTGGAGGATCACTATGGACAGGAATGGGTGAGTTTCTGGTTTGGTGGTGTTCATCCAAGGGCGTTTTTGTGCAGCCCTTTTTTTATTTAGTTAGTTTTTAAATGTATGGACATAGCTCAAATTTATGGAAGACACGAGATATGTATAATAGAATGACGTTTAGAAGGTAAATATACTTGTGTCATGAGTACTTTACTCTTTTTTTCAACAGACCTTCCACGACCGTAAGATTCTTGAGTACACCTGCCACACTGCTTTCTTCACCTCTATTGTGATTGTGCAGTGGGCCGATTTGATCATTTGCAAGACCCGCCGTAACTCCATTGTCCACCAGGGCATGAAGTAAGTACTGAAAAACTCGGCAAAACCTTTCTTCGGTAGTAGGCCTGAAAATGTAATCATTTGTTTATTATTCAAGTATCAAATGGAGAAGCTTGTCAGCAAATCTTTTACAATTAATATTTGTCAGTATATATTTATTTACTTACCATAATTACTTCCAGGAACTGGGTGCTGAACTTTGGTCTCGTCTTTGAAACCACTTTGGCTGCCTTCCTTTCCTACACCCCAGGCATGGACAAGGGTCTTCGCATGTACCCACTGAAGTAAGTAGCTACAATGTAGCAAAAGTAGACAAGCCGTCAATTTAGCTGTGAACTTCTATTTTTTGAAGTATTCTGTAGCATACATGCCCATTAAATAAACTAACAACGATCCTTATTTTCCCTAGGTTCTACTGGTGGCTGCCTGCTCTTCCGTTCTCCATCCTTATCTTCATCTACGATGAGATACGTCGCTTCATCCTGCGTAGGAACCCTGGTGGTTGGATGGAACTGGAGACCTACTATTAAGCTGTTACTGTGAGCGCAAGAATTACTAGAGCTCAAGACTGATCGCATGGCTCGCATCACCTGCCATCATCAGTGAACTTCCCACAGCCAGCACTTGTGTCGCTATTACTTGTGGAAATTTATTTAATATCCCAATATGGAAATTAATTTCTAGTTGACCCCAAGAATATTTAGTAAAAGAAGAGGCTTGGTCTCTTCATGATTCCATATGTATTTCATTGTTACTTACTGAGGATATTAATGTTATTATGGCTGTTTCTACTTTACCCATTGTTATATTTAAAGTTTCCAGTAAGTAACAGTGACATACAGCTATATATATATATATATAATGTACAGAATCCTGGTGAAGGATGTAATAAAGACAAAACCGACACTTCAAGACTGCACCAGAAGTAATTTTAACCGTGGTTTATATAACCTGGTCAACTACTGCTCCATACTGCAGGTGTGAGAAAGCAGTTTCTCTTGAAGGGGGGTGGGAAGGGATAAAATGTTTTTGAATGCTGTAAACAAAAAACAAAAAAATCATAAAAAAATATATAAATAAGCAGCAATTGGAAAATGGCCACATTGTTCTACCTTTTTAAGTTTTTGGAAGAGGGATTTTGCTTTCTTACACAAGTGGTGCTGGGGATGTTCTCATCTGTTAAATTTGTGTAAATTTTAGTGCACATGAGTAGAAGTGTGATGGCTACAAACCTGCAGCCGAAATCAAGTGTAAAAATATTGTGTAGATAGTGTGTAGACAGCCCCAATCTTCATGAGACTACCTAGTTTGCAAGAATGTTTTCATAATTGATCATAATCATTATTCGGAGTCGAGTTGTTACAGCTGTACTGCTCAAACCTTATCCCACGTTCGTTGGTAAATGTTTCAATGCCTAGGTTTTATTTTATGTTTTCCTTCTCTGGATATGTATTAACATTTTTGCTATGTGCAGTAAAATCTGAGAGGATAATACATTTTAATCTAAAAAGTAACTGTAATTTAATTTGATCCCTTTATGTGTAATGCTTTATAATATGTCCTAAACTATGCTTTGGTTCTAAAAATTTTCTCTCAAAAGTGACACATTGGGTCCATAACATTCCACACTAAAGTATCAGCTTTGCACACTCAATTTGCTTTCGTTATAGAAGCCGGTCAATGGTAGAGGTAGAGTTTTTCATCTAGCTCTTAGGAACGCAAAAAAAAAATCATAGCTCCTAACCTTATGCTTTGTCTTTGAGAGTGAAGCCCGTTTAGAAAGAGCGCATGACTAGAAAGAGTGCATGATTATGATGTAAACAAAATACTGGCCATTTTCCTTCATTGTTAATCCAGAGCATTCATTATTCAAAATTGAGCATTCTACCTCTGTAGTTCCTGCTCAGCTTCCACCAAGTCATGTCGAGGCTAAGTTTTTGGTGTAAACAGATTAATTTAGTTTGTGTATAGATGAATTACAAATGGTTAAAACTGCCTGGCTATAATACTTAACCATTCATTCTGCATCTTGATGGGAACAAAACTGATTTATGTTTACTACAAAAACTATGCTGAAATCTAGCTGCCAGGTGTAGAATCTTATTGTTTTAGACTAAATGATTTGATCATACTGTATGTTACCAGTTGATGGAGGTCTTGTTGTCGAGATTTGTGGCAAGCAAGGAACCATTGCTTATGTGACCTGCAGCAAACACTATCATTCAGTGTGGTAGCCAATTACACTGTGGTTTCCTGCTTGTCATCCTAACCAAGCTTCGTCTAAAGCATCTAGCTGTGGGTCGGCCTTTGTACATAGGAGATACAGATATCATAATAATTAATAGTAAGAATATTAAATATCAAGGCAACTATATCTTGTTATAAAGCAGCACTATCACTAACTTTTTTGTGTTTTTCATGGAGGCAGAGAAGGAGCCCCAAGCTCCTTTTCAAAGGGACTCGAACTTCTATGGCACTTTTTTGGGTGCGCATCTTACACCTTTAAAAATAAATGTTTTCTCCAAACATTTGGAGAGTTTTGTTTTAGCCCTGCCTCTGATTCCATGTTCAAAAAGAGAAAATTTTAAGAAGTGGTCACAGTTTTATCATTTATTTTACAAGTTCAAGGTTTTTGAATCCAATCCAAGTGCTGGATTCAACAATAAAATGTTTGAAATTTTTAAAACCTTTTTTCTTACACCTGATCGTAAGAAATTTAGAACTTAGAATAGTAACTAAAGGAAGAAAATTATGTAAATATTTTTAAAAAGTGTAGTCTAAATAGAAACTTACAACTTAAAATTAATCTAGTTAATGCCTCACACTTAAAAATAAAGTCAACAGTAAAGTTTCAGTACTTACCTGAAAATGTGAAATAGTTGTCCAACCAATAATATTTTTCATAGCATCCAACCTCATGAAAGAATAAACAGGCAACTCAGCCAGACACTTGAGTACTCTTATTTGCCAAGTGCCTCTTTTACTCTAATCAACTGACACAATACTTACGTTTACATACGATTGGTGTTCTTGGTTGTCGATTTCAGCAGATTCCTACCAATGGCTCATGCTACGACCACAACGCGAAGGAACGCCTAGAGCACTCATATAATAATCATATTGTTATACACCACTTCATTCTCAAATGACACTTGGCGAATTGGAGTACTCAGAAGTCCAGGGTGAGTTGCCAGTTTTGTCTTGGCGGTGTTACTGGAGTCCCTTGAGGAGCAGACACGTGTAATTCTCATGAGCTAGCTGTAAAGTAGTTTGTGCAAAGTATGAGTGACTGACCCCAGTTTTCGTAAGAAGCAAGACTGAATATGATAAGTAAATGAATCTAGTTTGTAGAATAAAGTTTCTAGGCTTATAATGCCATCGCTAAAAAAGACTGAAAGAGTGTCTCGTGGTTGATAAAGCACTCGGGCTGGTGTTGTTGAAGACTCCATTAGAATAAACCACACAGAACATCGAGAAAAAGTATAGAAGGAATGCGATAATTGCAAAGCATAATACTGTCATAAAATTGATGCTATTACAAAAACACAAGGTTTGATACCAAGCTATAAGGAAAAAATTGAGATGGACTTCACCAGGTTGCCGTGAGGCTGACGAACTCCTGGAAGGAAAGGCTGAGTTACAGATTATGAATATCTCAATATGAGAGCTGCATGCACGTTTTGAATATCAGTGTATCATAAGAATATAGAGAAAAATGAAAGAAAGAACTCGAGGAATTGGTGCTTCGGGTACGAGAACCGAATTAGGCTGTTGACCGTGCATTGGCCATTGGTGTGTGCTGAACAGAAATAGTGTATACAGACATTTGAGTGTGTGGACAGTCATCAAGAACTGAGAGTGGGCTTCAAACAAGACTCGAAGTTTCTAAAACCTGACTTATAGAATTTTAAGTAATTCTGACTGCAATATGGAGAAAGGCAAGTGTTTAATGTCCTTTACAGGAGTCACACGCATCCATGTGTTGGTTCTTAATTACGGGCGATTTACACTATGGTGCCACATAATACCTATATTACGCATCAGAACTATTCATATGGAGCGTATAAACTAGCATTATGATTTTAAAAAGTTAAGAAATATCTCATCTAAATTAGCGGACAAGGTCGGCGGGTTACCTCTAAAAGGCGCTAAAACAAGGGGGAAACAACATTGACGCGAATAACTTTAAAAAACAAGGGTGGAGGAACAACTGCATGGATTCAGAAGCGTCGATGTTAGGCTATATGAAACTTATAAAATTATGTCTTGTATCCTTGAAACTTATAAAAGAGTTTGTCGATATTCCTCTATCTTCCCTAATCTGCTTTCTTACTTGACTCTCTCATCTTACATCATCAACCGGATTCTCAAGCCAGAATCTCCCCTACATTCATCACCTATCCTATGTCTCCTCTCTCCCCCTATACTCTTATCTCTCTCTCATCTCTCTCTCTCAACTTTCTCTCTTCTCTCTCTCCTTTCTCCTCTCTACTCTTACCTCTCTCTATCCCTCTCTCTTCCACTCTACCCTCTCCCTCTCTGCTCTTTTTTATCCCCCTCCCTCTCCTCTCCCTCTCCCTCTCCCTCTCCCTCTTCTCTCTCTTTCTAATTGCTCCTCTCTCTCTCTCTCCCTTACTCTCTCCCTCTCCTCTCTCTTCCCTCTCTCTCTCCCTTACTCCCTCTCTCTCTCCCTCTCTCTTCTCTCCTCTCTCTCTCTCTCCTCTCTCCTCTCTCTCCCTCTTCTCCTTCTTCTCTCTCTCCGCCTTCTCTCTCAGCCTCTCTCTCAGCCTCTCTCTCCGTCTCTCCCTCTGCCTCTCCCTCTCCCTCTCCCTCTCTCTAATTGATTACCTATAGTCACTCGGCCTAAATACCGAACTTTTTGTTGGATCGGGTTAATATAAGACGATGATTATCACTAATGTGGATAAGTATAATGTATGTCAACATTTCTGTATAAAATGTCTTATATATCACATGCTTTGATATATATTCATACTGTCTTATTATATTCACATGAATGCTTACATTCCCAACATTCTCACAAATATTCACATCCACATGTATCTAAAACGAGATCAAAGCGAGCGAGCGAGCGAGCAATAGAGAGAGGGAAGAGGGAGAGGGTGAGGAGAGGGAGGGAGAGGGAGGAGGAGAGGGAGGGGGAGGAGGGGGGAGGGAGGTGGGAGAGAGGGAGGAGAGAGAGAGAGAGAGAGAGAGAGAGAGAGAGAGAGAGAGAGAGAGAGAGAGAGAGAGAGAAGAGAGAGAGAGAGGGAGGAGGGAGGAGGGAGGGAGGGAGGAGAAGAGAGAGAGAGAGAGAGAGAGAGAGAGAGAGAGAGAGAGAGAGAGAGAGAGAGAGAGAGAGAGAGAGAGAGAGAGAGAGAGTTTATTTTAAAGTTTATTTAGATAAATAGTACATAATCCAAATATATCCGACTCCTCTGACGTATCTAGGTATATTGCACTGTATAGATCCTTGGGCAAGATCTTTACAACCGCGTTCATATTATTTTACACATGCAAATTGTTTGTTTCTTTAGAATGTCCTTAATCACATGTTTTGTCACAGACATCATATGTCTGCTTTCAGAAAGGGCTCTGAAAGGTTCTATGTATTGACATTCCATTACATAGTGTTTCAAGTTATTCCCTATTTTTTCACAACATACTATACACTTTTTAAGCGAGTTAACCTTAGTTAAGCTATTGTGGACTCCCGTTCCCCCCGTAAATGTAATTGATATTTTCAGTTACCTCATTGTACATTTTAACTGAATTACTCTAAATGAGATATTTCATCTCTATTCTTTCTATTTATTCATGTCTTTATTCTAACTCTTTATTTGTTGTTGAGATGGACTAATAACAACATCAATGCTGCTGCCCGTTACTGGGTTCAAGGAACCATCAGTATATACTCTATGAAAATCATTATATTTTGCAATATCTGTTTAAAATCATCAATCCATTCTCAAAGTTGATGTGTTATTCTTTTAAAACTCATTTTCTTAATACTAACACCTATTTGCTATTACTTCCAAGGTTCTATTGCACATGACCTTGGATGTTTTGAAATAACCCAATAATTCTGTCATCTCTATCGCATTGCAAGTATTACCTACCCACGGAAGCTCTCTCATTGCTCTCTATTAAGCAAGATTAAGACATTTAGTTTTATTTTAAGAGAACCTTTTCTAATTTTCCTATATTAGTTCTGAGCAATGTTACTAATATGGGTGTGGCCTATCACTCTCCTTATACCACAAACATTTGTCTAAGAACATTTATGAATTCCCTTATTTTCTTCTTTGTTATTGCATGCAATGGCCTAATTCTACAATTACACTACTATAAATTCCCCAATATCATACATTTTTCTTTCAACAAATACAATTATATTCAAACACTTGTAGTTCTTAATCCTTCATAGTTTTAAAAATAATTTAACAATGCCTCTTGCTTCGCCCTTTACTCCACAGTATGATACAACCTTTATTTTATTAACTAATATTACAAGGCCAACTTTCAAACTTCCCCAAATTTAACAAGAATCGCTTTCATTGACCTTAATGATGGCGCTTGTAACAAAATATCGGCAGCATGTCCTACATATACCACCTGATAAGAATATTGTATTTTGGCAATAATGTTCATTGAAACATTAGATAACATTGGGTTTAGTAGTGCAGCTTGAGTACACATACCTAATTTCATTAACCTAGAATAGGAACCTTGAAAGAATGTAGACTATTTGCATCTGTCGTTTGTTAAAGTAATGAATAATATATCTAGAGAGAGAGAGAGAGAGAGATACTACGTAATGCACACGGACCTACACTGACATACTTTATGCATACAAGTCCATGCATCTGCATAAAACGATCACTTGTAGCCCAGTGGCGTAGCTAGAGGGGGGGAGGGACATGGGGGACAGCTGCCCCTCTCTCAAATAGTCAGTTACTAATGGACATGAGAGGATCCAGTTGAATTTCCAAGCGCGTGCATCGATGGGTACCCACATTGTCATCCTCATCACTACAACTACTTCTACTATTGTCATTTGTCTAGCTAAAACCGCTTAGCGCAGGGGTGGCAAACGCGGTTCGCCACACTCCTATTGTCAGCCGGTGTCACATTTGCTATTTCAGTCTTACAATCGGTTGTTTTACATGATTATCCCGGTCTTTCTTGTTGTTTTTGCAATGAATGGAATAGGCTACTGCATTTTTTACATTATCCATGTGGCCATTTCGCGACTGGATTATCTGGCACACATATTCTGTACTACTAGTGAAATATGGTCCCCCTTGGATGAATGAGTTTGACAGCCCTGTCTTGCACTTGACTATTATGGTCAATTTGGTATTGCTTTTGAGAACAAAGTATTCACATATGAACATGACCATTCCTCCTTGATGACGTGTACACTTGTGCCATTTTTCTGGTGGCATTTAAGGTGTCTCTCGTGATCGGAGGCGAGACAGGCCCCTAAGCTCCACCCACTCCTGTGACGTAATAGGAATGGCCACTGTTGATGTCTAGCTAGCTTGCTGTACTGAATTTTTCGACTGGTACACAGTAGGTTGGAATGTAATATCGAAGATGGTTTTTGATATATGTTGAGTTATACTGGGATGAGGCTAACCAACATAAGTACAAATTCGGTGTTGCTTAAGTCACAACC